TTCCTGAAACAGGGGAACTTGTTGGGAATATCAGAGCCTCGTTGGTTCTCCCCACTGGCAGCATGGATCTTACCTCAAAGGTCATCCTGGAGACAGCATCCTGCTCTGGGCGGAAGACTCCTTGCCGCTTTCCCCTGCGGTCCATGTTTGACTGCTGGGCCATCACCCTGCTGTCAGCCATGCCATAGGAAGAGTCCCAGTAATATTCTGGCACCTTGACTTCTGAGGGGTTCTGGTTATATGGCTCCATTGGGAAAGGCTTCATTTTTTTCTCCAGAGGTTGCTGTTGCATCACGGGAGGCTGCAATGACTGTTCAAAGAGTTTGAGAGGGTCCTGGGCCTGCAGGTAATAGGGCTGCTTTACAGGCATGATCTTCCCCAGGGAGCCTTGGACTTGAGGGGGGTTCCAGAGCTGCTTTGACGAGTCTGCCTGTGGATACTGAGGCAGAGAGACATGATTTCACCAGCAGGGAGGAACAGTTCATGTTAGCTGAACTCCTAACTCCATGCAAACTGTTGGCCTGGCTCGCATGTGACAGACATTCCACAAATAGTCTGATTTGCTGAGTGAATTCACCAAAATGCATAGCCTTGGTAGGCATCTCATCTAGTCAAGGTTTAAGCCTTACTCTAATCCAATACCTCATAAAGTAAATCTTTAGTGAGGTGCTGAGCCAGGGTTTGGCTGCCCAGAACATAGGGTTGTAGGGATAAATTATAAGAGGGGAAATTTAGATATCAGGCAGAAGTTTTCCCTGTGAGGGTGGTGAGACCCTGTCCCAGGTTGCCCAGGGAAGCTGTGGCTGCCCCAACCCTGGCAGTGTTCACAGCCAGGTTGGATGAGCCTTGAGCAACCTGCTCTGGTGGGAGGTGTCCCTGCCCAGGGCAGGGCTTGGGGCTAGATGATATCTAAGGTCCATTCCAACCCCTTAACATACTATGAAACATCAGGAGGGTCTCACCATCAGGTCTGGATGTGCCAGAAGGGAGATTTTCTCCAGCACAACACGAGCACAGAACTAAAAGCTGTGAGAGAACTGACACTGCAACCAGTTAGCCAAAAGGAGAGCATGAGTAAAGGTTCACACTCAGCCTTGTTACTCACACAAGAAAACCAGAAAGGCCTGAGAGAGAAATACCTGATCAGAAGTATCACCTTCATACCTTGCCTATAAACACAGAAAAAGGGTGACAGAAAACACCTTCCCACTCCAGTACATACCTTCCTCTCAGGCACGGCATCCTATGTTCATACCCACCAAACTTCAGCTCTTTTTCACATTTGCCCAGAAGTTCACAATGAAAAAGTTCTTCAACAACAATTTCGAGAGGTAATCCAGGAACACAAGTCTTGAACATTGCCATTTACTTTTAAACAAAGCTCTGCACATAGCATAGGCCAAGTTTACCTGCTGGAATCCGGAGTGGTGTGGTGGGCTCTTCCCCAGGCCCTGCACAGCTTTCGTGGGGGACTGCTGCTGCTGCTGCTGGGCCAGAGCTTGGACCTGTAACTGGCTTGCAGACTGTGCTGTTGCCTGAGCTGGTAAAGATGAGAGGGGTTGCTGGGAAGGAGGTGGTGTTTGCTGAGGTCCCTGGGTCATTGGCCCTGGTCCAGAGGGCCGTTGCTGGCTGTAAGGAATGTGGGACTGTTTCCCACCTTGCACCTGGTTTCCTGCAGGCGAGTGAGCTGTGGGCTGGAGGAAGGTTCCTGGGACAGAAACACCACCTGGGAAGGTGTACCCCGTGCTCATGGAGAAAGCCACAGGAGGGGGGACAACGTAGGTTGGAGGAGGAAATCCTGGAAGAGATAAAGCCAAACCTTTCATCACCATTTGGCAGGGCAGACAGCTCCCTGCAGAAAACATTTAGTGGGGCTTTTCTTCCTATGCTGTTCCTTTAGACCATGAGGAAAGGAAGCACCAGTCTGCACACATCCACTACCATGTCCTTCCTCTCCTCTGCAGGTAATGGCTGTGATCACACAGGGATTCAGAGTCTGGTCTGTGGTTTTCTTGCAATATTCTAGGCACTGCTAACCATATCTGGAGGCTCAACCTCCTTGTTTTTCTTCCCCACACTACCCTTTTTCTTCCCCATTCTGGGGTTTTAATGCTCTACCCTCAAAGTTCCCTCCCTCCTCAAACACATTTTCAGGGACTAAACCTCTGCAGGAACAAACAGAAGCAATCAATAAGATAAGTCTGTTGCCTCCCCCCAGAGGATCACCAGTCTCTGGATTGATTTAGAGGGAGACAGATGGCAAGCAAATAAATCCTAATATCTGCAAGATCAATTCCTTCCCTGTAGTTCAAAGCAAAGCCTGTAGGCAAGATCAATTCCTTCCCTGTAGTTCACACTGCAAAGCCTGGTTTAATTCCATGTCTCACAGGCCAGACTTTATGCTGACTTTGGGACAGGGAAGATGCCTCTCTGTCTTACAGTGAGGAACTCCACATAACAGCTGCAGGGAAGATAGAGCTTCCAGTTATTCCCTGAGCAAACAGGGACAGCAAGGGATGACAGGAACACTCCACAGCAAAATGGGAACATGCAAAGCAGCAAATAAGACCACACAGACTACAGTCTGAGACAGGAACATCACTACAAAAAACCCTGAGCTTTCAAGAAGCAAACAGTGTGACTGATCTTTTGTAACGATCCCTAAGCACAGAGGATGTTTGCTCCTGAGCCAGCACAAGGCTTTGTCATGTTTTGACTAACTACAGCAAGAGCCTACCATGCAGTGCCTTGATCTCAATCCCACTAACCCAAGAAGGCAGGTGGCAGATTTCATGACAGATTCCAAAGCATAAGGAATCTTACTTCATTTCACTTCTGCTATGCCCCTTTTTTGTAAGATTCCCAACATGAGAACCCATGCTCAGGAACAGAGCTCCTGCCTTCAGAGGCTGTAACAACCACTGTTAAAGGGTTTTCTCTGCACTCAACAACAAATCACACTTCAGAAGGAGGAGGCAAATTACCTGGTCGACTAGGAAGGGGAGGGAAGGCTCCTGGGTGATGAATGGGGATGAACTGGGAACTGCTGGCCTGACTTGGAGTCTGAGTTACAGGTGTTTTCCTGGCTTCAGACACCGGAGTCTTCCTCATCTCCGTCTGGGATTTCACCTGAAGCAAAAGAAAGGATGAGGACATTAGAAAACTTTTCCTGTCATTACCCATATCACGTTTCAAGCCAAAAAAATAAACTCCCAGATTGTCTGAGAGATTGTTTTCTTTCCCTTAAGTAAGTGGGAGAGGTTTGGAACACAGGAACCCTCCTGACTGAGCTGAGGCAGGTAACCCCGTGTGTCCTCAGGCACTCCTGGCCTCACAAAAGCACTCTGATGTCTACTCAGAAGATACAACAGGCTCCTTCTCTAGCAAGAGAGTGAGGAACAGACAATACCGTCCTCAAACCACACAAAGAACTTAGCATGCTGCTCACCTGCAGTGTGTAAACACAAAAAACCAAATGCTATTATGCTTCTCCTAGGGCACTGCTTCAGCCTAACTCATGCCACTTACCTGCAGCACCTTAAAAATAAACAAACACCACCACCTTCTTCCTAGGGAATCCTCTCAGCCTAGTCCATATGCACAAACTCCTGCACACAGTGAAATTCCTTTGACCCAGAGCACACAGGACAAACAGCAGCAGTGCTTAACCTCGTTCAGTTTACTGTGTAGCTGCTGTGTGTTCTGTGAAAAGAGCTGCACCAGTTAAAGGCAGAGAGAAGAATGGAATGGAATGTTTACCTGAGTCTGGGCCTGCTGCAGTCTGGGTCTTCCTGGAGAGGAAGACAGAGGGGAAGACTACTTTCCCTTTCTGTTCAGCTCAGCAGAACTGCCTGGAATGCAAGATGGAGCAGGCAGGAAAAAGATAGCAAGCAAGGAACCTGGGCAATACAGAAAGGGCCCAGGAGCAGACCTGATGCCAAGCCTCAGAGGTGAGTGAAAGAAAGGGTTGTCTCAGGGACCAAATCTAAAAAATCCAAACCAAACCAACCAAAACTGTGCAGGGTTTATTTCCACATTTACTGCTGCTGAGTTGAAAGGAGTTTCAGGGCATTTGTTTCTGCCAAAATAAAGGGGTAGATGCAGCCAAATGTTTTCATAGGTTCTTTTCCAAACTGAATCTCCCCATGTAGAAATTATGAGAGTGTAGAGTTTTTTTGTAGTTGGACAACTGGGAGGTTTGGGTGCCTTTTTCACCTCCCACTAGAAAAAGTCAGGAGGGAACTCCACACCTCAAAGTTCAGGCTGATGCTAAACACCCCAGACAATGCAGCCCTTGCTCAGGCCCCATCTCCTCACTGACCACCTTCACCCTCCATCACATTCTGTATGCTCAAGCTTAAATTGTGCTGTGCCTTTTTTTCCACACAATAAGCCAAACATTTTTATAACCCACACCAAGTGCTGTGCACTTTTTAAGAGCAATGTCAGAGAATTCCAAGACTCCCTTCCCTCTGTGGGACTTCAAAACAAGAGCTTTAGACCCTCTGTGCTATAACACATTGCCAAAGGTGGTTTCCAAAAGGTTATCTGTACAATATACAGTTAACTTTAAAAACCTAAATCACTAAAATTGATTCATCAGGACAGACAAATTCCAGTTGCTTCATTGTTTCTGTTTGATCTCACCTCACACTAAAATTGATTCATCAGGACAGACAGATTCCAGTTGCTTCATTGTTTCTGTTTTATCTCACCTCTAAAGTGTCAAAGCTACCAAATATTTACTCCCACAATGGCTCTAAATGTTCCTACACCGTGCTGGAGGGAAGCAGCATTTCATCATAGTGACCTCTTGTTACACTTTGGGTAAGTCTGCACCAAACCTTCCTTGGCACCTAACATTATTTTCCCTGGAGAGCAGAGATTCATACTCAAGATCCTGCCTGAGAGTGCCAGTTTTCCCCTTATCTGCCAAGCAGGACCGATTACTTTTGTGTAAAATTCCTCACATTTTTGCCACTTCAAAGTTGCAGCATAAAAGCTTTCAAAGGCAATGAACTATGGAGGAGATTGAGCCTGAAATTCCCAGGAAGGCCAAAGCAGGAGCACTAACACTCCACCAACTGGTACAAAACCTCCACTGGCTGTACAGTGTGTGGGGAAACAAACACTCCCTCTGTTCTGGAGTGGGTCTGAATTAGTCCACCAAACTGTATAAAACAAAAGGAATTGCATTGGATTAGTTGCCATAAATACAGCTGATGGAACTAAAAAGTCAAAATTGACTTCTATTCAAGAAGAGGCAAAGAATGACCAACCACAGCAGATTCTGCTACAGGTGGGTTTGAAATAAGTTCTCCCTAAGGTAGTTAGCTCTTAAGACTAAGGCAAGCAAATTTCTGATAAATTAGGTAAGTTAAAATATCTTCCCTGTCTGAACAACTACACATCCTTCTCACATCTGGTGGGGGTGTATCAGCCTCATGTCCTTATTTTGTAGGACAGGGGCACAAACATCCAGAGTGGGAGCTGTGCTCAGGCCTGCAACCAGATTCCAGACAAGTCTGACAAATACGTAAGAAACTTGCTGCTCTGTCTCACCTGTGTTGGTTTTCAGTGTTCAGCAACTCACAAACAACTCCCACATGGTTTCTGTAGCCTTTACAGGAACCCTCTGCCCCTACTTGGTGGGACCTCCTGCAAACCCAACTGAATAGTGCTGCCAGTTCAGACCTTCCATTTCATAGCAATGATGCTTAACAGCAAATGATCAAGAGGAGAACAAGAAGAACAACCCGAGGCTCCTAACACCACAAGCTGGAAAGGCTGAGAGAGATGGTTTTGTCTAGCCTAGGGAAAGCAAGACTCAGTGACAGGACTTCAGAGCAGTTGCAAAGAGGAAGAGTTGTTCTGCAGACCTGTCCTGGGCAGTAGTAATGGGCTTACACAAAGAGGGAGATAACATGCATTACAAGTATTTTCTACTTGCAAGAGCAGTAAAGAAATGACACAATTTATCTAGGGAAATAATGGAGTCTCTGTCACTAGCATCAAATGCTTCCAACAGTCATCAGGGAATGACTGAGATGCAACCCAACTGCCCAGGTACAGACCAGCCCTGAAACTCTCCACCCTTACTTACTACAGCTCAGTGGAAGTCAGACCAGTACATTCACTGCTTTCTTGAGCTATTTCATATGCAAAGCTCACAGGAAGAGAGGAAAAAAAGCATGTCCCTAAAAATACAACTGATGCAAGAGCAGCTGATGTGAAAACCAAAAATGCTGAGCACAGATTCCTGATTTAATAGCAGTGTGTGGCTTTCCTTGCTTCCAGAGAGACCTCTAACTGCATGCACAGAACAGAGGATCTTAATCCACATATATAATTTGGTGTTTGTTTTGCAATGTGCTCAGTTTGTTGAATTTGCACAAGTGAACTGAAAATGCAGAGTGCCCAGTTCCTCCAAAAGAGGCCACAGCACAGGTGAGAGCATGACTACAACCTGGCCATGTGAACTGTGCTGATGGCCTAAATAACCTCTGGACTAACAGGCAGCAGTCTGCTTTTTAAGACAGTTAACACAACAAAATCACTTTTCATTCCACCCTATCTTTTTCTCCCTCTCTCTCTGTTTGAGACAGCATCAAGCAAAAGGGCAGAGACCCAAAGGTCACCAATACCTGCTCTTTGCATTAGCTGTACCTGCAGGGCCCACAGTGAGACCTCAGCTCTACACAAGCAGTGACAGCCCTGACACAAGCACAGTACCACCTCAGTCACAGTAACCCTTTGAGCTAAAGGCTTACCTGAACTGCCACGTTCTGCTTCCCTGCTTCCTGCATCTTATCCAAGCCACATTTCTTGGTCTCATTCTTTCTCTTATTGTTATCCTTCTTCCCATCATTCTTACTGGCTACTAATCCTTTGCTAAAGTCCCTTCTTTCCCTCGCCACGTCCTTCGGGGGGTAGATACGCCCTTGCTCCCTGTTCAGCTCCCTTGGCTTGATGTTCTCTTTGAATGTGACCATTGGTTTTTCTCCCACATCACAGTTGTTGCTCAGGCTTCTGCCAGAGGACAGAACTGATTTGAGTCCAGGGCTCCCATCAGCAGACAGTGGCTCTGCAACGGATGTTTCCTGCAAGGCGAGACTCTCTTTGGCTTCACTTGGGTCCTCCAGCAACAGTTCTGGGATCTCTGTCACAAACAACAGCTTGCCTACCTCATTTTCACACTGAATCAACCTGAAACAGAAAGGAATTGAAAAGCAACTACATTAATTATGTTATGAAAATCAGCCCACGGAGCAAGGGCATGCTGACCCACAGAGCACGTCAGCAGCACTGTTAGCATCTCGTGCTCACCTCACAGCTCATTGCTGTGCTGAACAGAGCAATAACAGCAAACAACACTCAACTCTGGCTCCTGTGTTGCCTCAGCTAACAGCAGCACATGGAGCACAGAGAGGGCACCTGCAATTACCTTGGCTGGTTATCAGCAATCCATTTGCCTGTGAAGATCAGGCGCTGCTGCCGGATCCGACGCTGCTGCCCTTCTTTATCCCCTGTAATTGCCTGGTGGCCTTTGGAAAAATCCAAGTTCCTAGTGTTGACACAGGAGAGGGAATATTAATTACACAATTACCCTTGCAACGTCGTATTTCATTAGCAATACGATCTGTCAGTATTGCTCTATTAGAAGCTGTGAACTTTCACCAGATATCAATCAGAACGTGAATGTTAGGTCTAATTTACAGCTGTCATTCTCTTCTGGTGAGGTGCAGCCACATTAAGGAGGTTTGGGGAGGTTTTAACTATACAAAAGGCCCAAAACTCATCTGTGTGATAATCAAAAGCAGAAAACTAATAGCTGAGTGAATATATCTAACATTTAGCCAGCATTTGTGCATGGTGTTAGGTGCAGGGACACAGTTAGAACAACCAAAGTAAAACCACATCGAGCAGCTTCCAAGTATTCCTTTCCTTCATAAGTGTTTCCCTTTCCATTTACTAGTCTGAAGACTACAGAATAAGAATACAAAATTCATGAGCAATATTGTAAGCTCAAGACTTGCACTACAGCTGTTTTGAAGAGACCTACATCAATCCATGCAGCAGTAACTACTCATCGATGAGGTAGTGGAGGGAACAGACCAATGCCTATCAAAGCCTTGACATGAGTGTCCTTCAGCTGTCACCCACCTGAACGAGGGCCTCAGAGCCAGGAATCCTTGCAACTCAAATTCTTCTGGAAGGGGGGTTGCTGGCAAACACAGTGAACAGTGTCAGGAAAGCAGGAAAACATTGAACACAGTATCACAGTAGATATCTCTGAGCAGAGTCTTCTCCTAACTGCTCCACCCTGCAGCCTGAGGAGCTCCAGAATAACCACATAAAGTCTGCACATGCACTAATACTAGAAGACAACTTGCTTCCTTATTTGCTCTTCAACTGTAATTCCCCACACCATCAGGAAAACTGCTCATCATCCCCAGTTCTTTGCAGCACACACTAGAAGTGTCCTTACCATTATTACTGGAGAGATCCTCTTCGTGAGGCTGAAAGCTGTTTAGAAGAGAAATCAGCCAGGGCCATATGCTACAAATTAGAAAACAGACAAACCACAAGTGAAAACTACAGAATACGTGGAATGGGTTCACTTTACCACTGTGTAACTGCTACACAGTCAGAGCTTCCACAAATCCTCTGATTCCCAGAAAAAGACACGGTTTCTCTCAAGTGAACATGACCACTGTTACTGAAGTGCTGGAGCAGCTACCACACAGGTCAGAAGCTCAAAGTAAGAGCTGCACTGAGTAAGACCATGAAACCCCATGGGAACTGCCAGCCCCCTGCCTTACCCTCACAACACCAGGAAATCCTTCCCACAGGCCCTGGAGCAAAGAATTTTACAATCACACTGATCACTGCACAGGTGGTTAACATTTAACTGCCACCAACAGGTTGTTTCACTCCTGTTCATAAAAGCTCATGCCCAAAAGTCTAAGCTTCCTTCTGCTGCAGTTATAGGCACCATGGAGGCAGCAGGAAGCTGTTGTAGGATGCTAACTGTGCTCAGTGCTGGTGAAATGAACTTGTCCTCCCCTCAGCAAGACTTCCAGGCGTCACCCACCACCCAGTACCTGCACTGGAGTGCAATGTGCACCCACCAGCCCAAGAGGAGCTGCTTTCCAGCACCACTGCAGGACTGCAAACAGCATCTCTCTGCTTATTCTCTATGCTACACTGAGCAATATTTCCTTCCCATGACTGACAAGGAACAGAAGGAGGGGAAAAAAAAAGGAGTGTGAAAGTCTGGTGCAGCCTCCAGTAAATTACAATCCTCCTGAACAGTGTTTGAAACAATGAGATTTCATAAGGGATCCAAAAGAGTCATGTAAGGACACACCAAAATCTAGACCTCAAGTGGCTTCCACAAGGCAGGTTTGGAAAATCACTTCCCAAGACAACACACCAGTACAGACACAGTTATTTCTGTCCTCAGTTCTTGCCTTCAGATTCAGCTACTTTTCTAGGTAAACACATTTCCCTTCTATTTCAGTTTGGGGTAGAATTAATTATCCACAAGAAAATTATACACATGGCATGGGGCCAACAAAGTTTAAAAAGGATAAGGAATATTTCTTGACCCAAGAGCAGAATTCAGTAATAGTTACTATCATCTCAAACAATTTGTGAACTGTATTCCTCCTTTCCTTGAGGTTTTCCTTAACATTCCCTTCAGGAATTCTGGAGCTGAAGTTCCCACAGCTCCAGGGCTTTAAGTTTTGTGTGAGTGTTATTTAGCAAACACAAGTTCTAGGGACCCACTGCTCCACAGGCATCACACTGTTCTCCTTAGAGTGCTCATCCTAGGAAAAATACTCCTCCAGCTGTGTCAGAAACAGTGGCTCAGACCTGAAGAAACACCTTACTGAATTGCTATAACTCATGAAAAGTTAACAGAATATTAAATGAATTTTTGGTGAGTTGAGTCTAACCTATGCCCTAACACCACCCTGTCAAACAGACCATGGCACTAAGTGCCACATCCAGTCTCTCCTTACACCTTGAGTTTAATTCCTGGGTGAGTGGATCCTTGCACTGCCCAAGAGATGGCTCAGTGCATGAAACTGAGGCAAGTATTCTCCTGCCAAATCCCTTAATCATCTGAGAAATCACTACACTTGATTAGTCTAAGGGTACACTCAGTTATGCTCAAGTTGAACATTACAAAGTAGATCTTCAAGAAGCTACAGCAAAGCTAAAGCAAATCAAAACAAAATTTGCTCCTGTAACCCACAAGTCTCATCTTTTGCTTTATGAGCTTGCCAGCACATACATTTTCCATCATTCTGATGCCTGTAATAATGAGTTATGTGATCACTTTCCCCCTTATTAGTCATTATGACTTCATGCAAGCAAGTGTATCAAAAGAAAGATGAACACTCACTACCGTCTCTCATCCACCACTGCCTCCTGGAAAACACTGGGACGGAGTTTCAGCCAATCCATGGAAACCTTCACAGCTGGAAGAGGATATGCAGCCCCAGAGTCCTCCTGGTAGTCATTTTGTAAAGGACACTTGCACAGAACTCCAAGAAATGACACTAGAAACAGAGTAAGGGGGGGAAACCAAACACAGCAACTCCATGATGTGGAAATGACACTGTAAAGACCAAATAACCTAAGCAAACACCATAAAACCCTATTTTTAAGAGCACTATCTTTAGAACAAAACAGCTTCACTGCTTCACCTTAAACAATCCCCCAAGGGATCAGAACACCTTTGTTTTTGAACAGTTTTCTACCATGAAGAATCTGGGTGGCTTTTTCCCCTTCAAGTGCCATGGCAAATCATTTGGGAAGTTAACCAAATTGAGGGAGATGAACCCATTGCAAAAATATTCACTCACCTATTTATTAGAAATTATCAACTCAACTCTCTACCTGCATTTTATCCACTTTCCCAGGTCAGCAGGCACAGGGATGTATGGGAGCTCTGCAGGCAGGGACTCAGCCCAGACCCCTCAGGGCACACAAGCTGAGACACACAGGAACCACACCAGTAGGGACTGGTGTGGTTTTCAGAATCAACTCCAGGCTGGAATCTAGAGAAATCCAGCTCTTCAAAAATGCAGGTGTTGACAACCAAGGCCAAACAGATGATGGGATGGATCAGGTTAAGCAAGTCACCACGGCTAGTCTAAAACACTCTGCACTCCCAATTATCTCCTAGCTGACGTTATCAAGAGCACAGAAGCAGCTGAGATCTTCTGTCAGCTCCTACTTCAGCCCTGTTAGATCAGGACCAGCTCCATTCAAAGCAACTCCAGCTGCATGCAGCCAGCTGAGGAGAAGCCCGACCTACTGCCAAATTGGACCCAGCTTTGCACCCAAGTTACAATGTTCTCTCAAAACCAGGAAAAAGCTGCAGAGTTGTTCTTCTTCAAACAGAAGAAGTCCAGGGCACAGAAATCCAGTGGTAGCTAGCATTGCTAGACATAGATCCTGTGCAACCATCTTCTCTCTTAGCTTTCTCCTCAATGTCTGCTCTCATCACTCACCTCACATAAGCAGTAAGGTGGATACTGACAGCAAACTACTAGTGGATTCCACATGAAACCCAAAGAGAACTCCAAAAATCACACTTACTGAAGAGAGCCAGGAGCTGTGTCCAGCAGAGCTGCTCGTCCTGGCTGTAGCTGTGCTGCTCCGTTTCGTTGCTGAAGTCTCGCAGGTGGTGCAGTTGGAACAGGTTGATAACAGTAATATGGACTAACTGCTGAGAGTTGAAGGCCTTTTGGAACAACAACCTCTGCAACAGAGACACATGATGAATGTATTTTTAGATGGGAAAGCACACACTCGAAAGGATTAGTAGTTGCTACTTCACTGCTTGACTAATGCTTCTGCCCTCAAGGCACCATTCACTCTGGATTTTATTTTGAGGTCATCCCTACTAGCACAGCACTGAGCTTAGAATCACAGAATCATCAAGGCTGGAGGAGACCTCTAAGACCATGAAATCCAACCATTAACCTGCCATTCTGCTGTAACCCCTAAATCCTAACCCATACCCGCCAGCATCAGACCCAGACACCTCTTAACACTTCCAGGGATAGTGACTCCACCACCTCCCCGGGCAAACTATTCCAGTGCAGCTTCCCAGGAGGGCTGGGGCAGGTGCCAGCTGTTAAGGCCAAGGTTTCTGCTCACACACCAGCTGAGATGCACAAATCAACACCCCCTTGGATGTGGTTCTCTTTCAGAGCAAGCGCGACTTGATGCGAGGTGACAGCATAGCAGTGGCACTGCAAGAGCTGCAGAGGCACGTGGACCCATGGGCTCTGCCAGCCTTTCCAAGGGACAGCATAGAGAGGGGGACATTTTTAACAAACACCCCAGGAAAATCTAACTACTGGGTGGTTAGGTATTAAAAACTAATCCCACATCTGACTTGGTGGGGCACGGAATGCCTCAGTGGACTAAAATAGCACGAGCTATTTACAAATGCCTTGCAGTAACTATGCTGGAAAAGACACCTTTCTCAGGCCAGGAAAAGGAACTTTAATGCTTTCTGTGGAAAAACAGGAGATATCCTAACCCATAACCAACTTATCTCCAGACACAACAATCAGGGAGGCAAGTGGACTAACCAGTGTAAGCAACAGCAAAAGGTTTAAGCTCCAAGTTCAACCTTGATTTTTGTAGTTAAGGGCATGAAGCACTGCAGAGCCAACAGCTCAGACTGGCAGAGCTGCCAGCAGCAGAACTGTGGGCCTGAGCACTGCCAACCCCACAACTGCTCTCCTCAGAGCTAAAATCAGCCCCAGAGTTAAACTGATTAGCCACCACACAGCCAACTTCCCATCCACATCCAACCCACTGGAGCCAGAAGAGTTGCTCTCTAGTAAATTAAGCCTTATGGTGCATAATACAAACAAAAAAAGTAATCTAAGCAGCAAAGCAGCTCAATTAGCTCTGTTTTAACACCCTGGATCAGCTCAGAAAGCAAAGACTCTTCCACATGCCTGAGCAATGCTCATAATTATTGATTACAAGCACTGTGGAAAAAGCAAGTACTTGTTCAAGAGCCAAATCACCCACACAAAAAGAGATACAATTATTTCATTTTCCAACAGCACTAAGTGCCAGTGCTCAACAGCCCAAATGCAAAGCTAATTCAAAGCAAGTTCTGGGGGGGAGTTAATTTATTGTAAAGACAGTTTGGGCCTGGCTGTAGCACCCATCTTCGTGACCTCATTTGGACACACTCCAATAACTTCATATCTTTCTTATATTGTGGTGCCCCAAACTGCACACAGTATTCAAGGTAAGGAAAAAATCCCTACTATGGGCAGAAGTGACCAGAACTATCTAGTGGTAGCTGCAATGCAAACCATCCCTGAGTGGCTGTTTGAGTTTCCTGTATTTTAGCCTGTGAAAGAGTTATTATTGGACTGTAATTTCAGAACTGAGCTGCTAAAAATACTCTCCTCAATATACTAATTAATCTGTTGTTGTTAGAACTCACCTTGAATTGTTCTTCCAGCTTTTCTCGAAGAGGGCTCAGCTTCTCCAAGCTCTTACTCAGGTACACATGGCCATGGAATTTAATGAATGCCTTGATGAAGTCAGAAACACTCCATCGAGTCTTCACCTCATCACGACTGTGTTTGGAACAGAAACACCAGGGGTTAGACTTAGGAATCACACACACTCCAGAACTATTATGATGCTATTCACAGAATCATAGAATCAACCAG